CATCCCTCCTATGGCAGATGGGGCAGTTAGAGAGAGGGAGAAACTGGCCAGAGGGAGGAGGTCCAAGGCCAGGGCTCCTGTGACATGGCAGCTGCCACTCCTTGGAGGAAGTTTCATGAACTTGTTTTATATACTTGCTCCAGTAGGTGAGGTACAGAGTTAGCGGTATTAGATGGGTCTCAGCAGCAAGGAGAGTTAAGTGGATATGGAACCAGGAGCAAGCCCCACTCTGCCATCAGACCCATTTACAGTAAAGGGCAACCAACCCATGACTGAGCAAAGTGGCTTCTAAGTTCTTCTATTCTCCTTACCTTTTTCCCTCTGGAGTGAAGATATTTTTCAGCCACTCATATGTCATGAAATACATCCCACTGGCTGGAACATCTGTTAGCAGCAAGAAAGAGGTGAATTAAATGATATAAAACCCTCACAGATTTCTTGAATTTAGAAGAGTCAAGCTTGGCACTGGCCCCTTCAAGGCTCCCTGGGAAGGTCCTCAGCAGCACTTCTTATCTGCATTAACTCCTGTGCAGTAATTAGATGCCACTTTGGGGCAAGCACTAGTGTGAGTGAGCACAAACATGCATGACAACATTTCATCTTCAAAGCCCCTTCTGAGTAGTCCCCACTGACATGCCCACTCCAAGTTACAAGTACTGCTAGTCTCTGGCCTTCCTCCAAGCTACCACGTTAGGACAAGGATGAGGCTGTGTCTGCCTTTCCTACTGCCACCCCAGCAGAACATGCCTCTCGAAACCATGGTGAGCCCCAGTGTCCTTAAGTCATTCTTTCCTCCCACTCATCCCTCCAGCCAGATTTCTACCTACTTTCCAGTCCCCTGTAACTGCCACTGTCTTAATACATCCTTGAGGGCCAGCCTGCCAGAAGGATGTTGGTTCCCCCTGCCCCCATCCTCATTTGTGTCCATGCCGGCTGGGGTGAGACTGCCTAAAACCAGGGCACACCATGCCAGCCTTCTCAGCCATAAGTGTGGTTTGCATGGTGCCAAAGCTAATCTGGGGACCCAGGTAAGACCCTCTGTGGCAAATGCACCTCAGATGAGCCCCCAACCAAGGTGACCTCAGGTGGAGAACCTAAAAGGTTACCTCGCATGAGGGTGAGCACTGTCCCTTTGTAAATGCCTCGGATCCCAGACTCCTGATACAGCTTCTTTGCACAGTCCAAAGCCCCAGTGTATTTGGTTTCCCCTGAAGAAGCCTGAATCTGAAAGGGAGGGAAAAGTCATCAAAGTCAGCGGCAGCAACATCGAAGTCAATAGACTCAGCATGTTACAGAAGATTACAAGGTGAGTGTGGATGTGGTCATTAGGCATTAGACCAAGAAACACTTCACTGTCAAACTGATGGTTATTTGGAAAATAGAATATTGGTGGAAGTCACTAGGAAATAAAGCTAAATAAAAATATCACAAAGTATGCATATACTGACAAGAAAAAAAAATCAACAGAAGAATTGGAAAATAAGTGGAGGAACCCTCAAATCCAAGAGCATTCCCAATAAAGCTAGTTGGAAGGTCTAGAAAGGAGACAAATACTTCAGTCATTCACTTATTCCTTCAACAAATATCCACTGAATACCAAACCCATTCCAAGCCTTCACTGATCAGGAAGCCTGGTTAAGGAAAGGTGAACAGGAAATGGCATTCAGAGTTCTAAGTCCTGGGATAGAAGTCCTATGCAGAGCCAGGGAAAGGCCAAGGAGAGGCCCCCATCCCAGCTTCAGGGATCCAGAGCCTAAGAGTCAAGAGCATGATAAAGGCAGGCTGGGGTAATCCCAGAAAAGATCCGAGAGAAAGATCCCCATGCAAGATCCATAGGAAGTACAGAGTCAAAGGGAATCAACACACAGAGGCATCAACCAAAGAATAATTAAAGCTGGAGAGTTCGGCCTTAATAGTCCCAAGGAGAAACACTTACAAAATAAATATAGAAGTCCAATAACTTTCTTTTTCTTTTTTTACGTTTATTTACTTTTTTTTTTAATTTTTTTTTTAACGTTTATTTATTTTTGAGACAGAGAGAGACAGAGCATGAACAGGGGAGGGGCACAGAGAGAGGGAGACACAGAATCTGAAACAGGCTCCAGGCTCTGAGCTGTCACCACAGAGCCCGACGTGGGGCTCGAACTCACGGACCGTGAGATCATGACCTGAGCCGAAGTCGGACGTTTATTTACTTTTGAGAGGAAGAGAGGGAGAGAGAACGTGTGCCTATGAGTGTGCACGAGCAGGGAAGGGGCAGAGAGAGAGGGGGACAGAGGATCCAAAGCAGGCTCCACGCTGACAGTAGCAAGCCTGAGCCTGATGCAGGGCTTGAACTCACGAACCATGAGATGAAGACCTGTGCCAAAGTCAGACACTCAACCGACACATATCCCAAGTCTAATAATTTTCTTACACACCAGCAATAACAAGTTGAAAATAATGGAAAATAATTCCATTCAAAATAGCAATAAAGGGGCACCAGGGTGACTCAGTCAGTTGAGCGCTGAACTCTTGATTTCGGCTCAGGTCATGATCCCAGGGTCATGGGATCAAGCCCCACATCAGGTTCTGTGCTGAATGTGACACCTGCTTAAGATTCTCCCTCCCTTAGGGGCACCTGGGTGGCTCAGTCGGTTGAGCGTCCAACTTCGGCTCGCCCGTTCATGCTCTGTCTCTCTCTGTCCCATAAATAAATAAAAAAAAAGTTGAAAAAACAAAAAAACAAAAAAACAAAGTGTATGTACCAAACAAAAAAAAAAACTACAAACTATGTATAGCAAAACTGATAGAATTGAAAGGAGAAACAAACAAACCCACAATTACAGTTGGAGATTTCAACTCCCTCTATCAACAAATTGGTAGAACAAAAAGACTGAAAATCACCAAGGATAAAGAAGAACTCAGTACTATCAACCAAGAGGATCTAATCGACATTTATAGAACACTCCACCAAATGACAACAGATTACACATTCTTTCAAGTGCCCATAGACATAAGCCAAGACAGACCATGGGCATAAAACAAACCTCAAGAAATTTAAAAGATTTAAAATTTTTGTTTGCGTTTATTTACTCATTTATTTTGACAGAGAAAGAGAGGCAAAGAGAGAGAGAATCCCAAGCAGGCTCCATGCTGTCAGTGCAAAGCCCAATATGGGGCGCAAATTCACGAACTGTGAGATTATGACCTGAGCCAAAATCAAGAGTCAGATGCTTAACCGACTGAGCCACACAGGCACCCCTAAAGGTTTTAAATAATACAGAATACGTTCTCTGATCACAATGGACTAAAAACTAGAAATCAATAATCTCCAACACTGTAAACCAAACAACACTCTTCTAAACAACTCAAAAAGGGGGCGCCTGGATGGCTCAGTGGGTTAAGCGTCTGACTTCAGCTCAGGTCATGATCTCGAAGTTTGTGGGTTTGAGCCCTGTGTCAGGCTCTGTGCTGACAGCTTGGAGCCTGGAGCCTGCTTCAGATTCTGTGTCTCCCTCTCTCACTGCCCCTCCCCAGCTCACACTCTGTCTCTGTCTCTCTCAAAAATAAATAAACATTAGGAAATAATAATAATTCAAAAAGGAAGTCTCAAAGGAAATTAGAAAACACACTGAACTGACTGGCAATTAAAATATATCTAACTTTGGGATGCCTGTCAGCCAGAAAAGCACGTGAGTGCTGATCTCACTCAGGGTTGTGGGTTTGAGTCCCATGTTGGATATAGAGATTACTTAAATAAATAAACATATATATAAATAAGTTTGTAAGACCTAGCTAAAGTGCTGCTGAAATGAAACCCTATAGCACTGACTGCATACATTAGAAAGGAGGAAAAGGCTCAAATCAACAATTTAATAAGCTCTCACCTCAAAAACCTCCCTAAGGGGCACCTGGATGGCTCAGTCAGCTAAGTGTTCCAACTGTGGCTCAGGTCATGATCTCACAGTTTGTGAGTTCAAGCCCCGCATTGGGCTCTCCACTGTAAGCGCAGAGCCTGCTTCACATCCTCGGTCCCCCTGCTCCTTCTCTGCCCCTCCCCTGCTCATGCTCTCTCTTTCAAAAATAAACATTTGTAAAACAAAAACAAAGAAAAGCAAACTAAACCTACAACAAGCAAAAGGAAGTAAATAATAAAGATACAAGCAGAAACCAATGAAATTGAAAACAGAAAAATAGAGGAAATCAGTACAACAAAAAACTATTTTCTTGAAAGGATCAAAAAAATTAACAAACCTCTAGTGAGGCTGACAAAAAAGAGAGAGAAGTCACAAATTACTAATATCAGGAATAAAACAGAAGATACCACCACAGACCCTGTAGACATCAAAAGGATAATAAGGGAATACTACAAACAACTCTACACACAATTTAACAACATAGATGAGAAAAGAAAAACATAAACTACCACAATTTGCCCAACATGAAATAATTAATTTGAATAGCCTTGTAACTATTAAGAAAATTGAATTCATAATTTTAAAACTCTTCTCTCCCAAATCCATAATTTATTATAAAATCCTAACAAAGGTTTAAAGAATTAACACCAATTCTACAATCTCTCTTAGAAAACAGAAAAGGGGGGCGCCTGGGTGGCGCAGTCGGTTAAGCGTCCGACTTCAGCCAGGTCACGATCTTGCGGTCCGTGAGTTCGAGCCCCGCGTCGGGCTCTGGGCTGATGGCTCGGAGCCTGGAGCCTGTTTCCGATTCTGTGTCTCCCTCTTTCTCTGCCCCTCCCCCGTTCATGCTCTGTCTCTCTCTGTCCCAAAAATAAATAAACGTTGAAAAAAAAAATTAAAAAAAAAAAAGAAAACAGAAAAGGGAGCACTTCCCAATTCATTTCATGAAATTAGTATTATCCTAATATCAAAACCGCATAAAACAATACAGGAAAAAAAAATATGACAGACCTATATCTTTCATGATTGTACATGCAAAAATCTTTAACCAAACATAAGCAAATAGAATTCAGCAACATATAAAAAGAATTATACACCATGTCAACTTGGTGGGTTTATTCTAGCAACGCAAAGTTGGTTCAATATTTGAAAATTAATTGATGTAATCTACCATATTAACAAGTTAAAGAAAACTCACATGATCACATCAATCCATGCAGAAATAAAAAAAGTATTTGACAAAAGTCAATATCCATTCATGATAAAATTCTCAGAAAAAAGGGTAAAAGAAGGTAACTTCCTTAACTTCATAAAGAACATCTACAAAAAAAAGTATATCTAACATATTTAACAATGAAATAGTGAATACTTCCCTGTAAGATTGGGAAGAAGGCAAAAATGTCCATTCTCGTCATTCAACATAGTACTGGAAGTTCTAGCCAGTGAAATAAGGAAATAAAAGTTAAACATATCAGAAATGAAGAAATAAAACTGTCTCTATTTGCAAATGGCATGACTTTCTACATAGAAAATCTCACAGATTGTATAAAAAAAATAATCCTAGAACTAAATAAGGGATTCAGGAAGGTCACAGGACATAAGATTAACATATAAAAATCAATTGTGTTTCTATGAGCTAGCTAAGAACATGTAGATAACAAAATTAAACTTACAGCACCATTCCCAATGCCATTTTTAAAAAGATTTTATTTTTAATCTCTGTACCTAACACTTGGGCTTGAACTCACGACCCTGAGATCAAGAGTCACATGCTCTACCAACTGAGCCAGCCAGGCACCCCTACAATGCCATTTTTGAAAGTCAAAAAAAGAGAGAAGACTTAAATATAAATTTAAAGAAACATGTACAGGATTTAGGTGCTTAAAAGTACACAGTACAGGGGCGCCTGGGTGGCGCAGTCGGTTAAGCGTCCGACTTCAGCCAGGTCACGATCTCGCGGTCCGTGAGTTCGAGCCCCGCGTCAGGCTCTGGGCTGATGGCTCAGAGCCTGGAGCCTGTTTCCGATTCTGTGTCTCCCTCTCTCTCTGCCCCTCCCCCGTTCATGCTCTGTCTCTCTCTGTCCCAAAAATAAATAAACGTTGAAAAAAAAATAAAAAAATTAAAAAAAAAATAAAAATAAAAAAATAAAAGTACACAGTACTGATGAAAGAAATTAAAGTTCTAAATAAATGGAGAGACATACCATGTCCATGGATTGGAAGACTCAAAACAGTATCAATTTCATCCAAATTGACCTATAGATTTAACATACATCTCAGCAAAATTTTTCTCAATTTTCTATATTACCCTTAAGTTTATATGGAAATACAAAGCAATTAGAATAGCTAGAATAAGGGTTTTTTTTTTTTCTTAAGAATAAAGTGGGAGGGATCAGTCTACTCAATTTCAAGACTTAGTACATGCCTATATTAATCAAGACTGTGTAGTATTAGTAAAAGGATAGACATATAGATCAATGGAAGGAAATACAGAACAAAGCAGTAGATCCACACAAATATGCCCAGTTGATTCTTTTTTAAGTTTATTATTTATTTGAGAGAGAGAGGGAGAGCATGAGCAGGGGAAGGGCAGAGAGAGAGAAAACAAAGTATTACAAGAAGGCTCCACACTGTCAGCGCAGAGCCTGATGTAGGGCTCAAACTCGTGAACCGTGAGATCATGACCTGAGCCGAAACCAAGAGTCAGAGGCTTAACTGCATGAGCCCATCCAGGTGCTGCTATGCTGAGTTGATTTTTAACATAATGTAAACAATTCAGTGAAGTAAGATAAGTCTTTTCAACAAGTGGCACTGATGCAATGGGACAGCCATAGGCAAATTTTTGTACATTATATACAAATTCATTCAAAATGGGGTCACATACTTAAATGTAAAATGTTAAACTATAAATAGAATTCTTAGGGACACCTGGGTAGCTCAGGCAGTTAAGCATCTGACTTTGGCTCAGGTCATGATCTCAGTTCATGAGTTTGAGCCCGGCATCAGGCTCTGTGCTTATAGCTCAGAGCCTGGAGCCTGCTTTGGATTCTGTGTCTCCTTCCCTCTCTGACCCTGCCCTTCTCCTGCTTTGTCTCTCTCTTTTGTTTCTAAAAAAAAAAAAAAAAAAAAAAAAAAAAAAAAAATAGAATACTTAGAAAAAAGCACAGAAGAAAATCTGGGATCTCAGGCTAGGTAAAGAGACCCAATGCCTCAAATACCTAAAGTCCAATCCATAAAAGAAAAATTAACAAACCCAACTTTATTAAAATTAAAAATGTTTGCTCAAGGGGTTCCTGGATGGCTCAGTCAGTTGAGCATCTGACTCTTGGTTTTGACTCAGGTCATGATCTTATGGTTCATGAGTTCGAGCCTTGCATCGGGCTCTGAGCCTGCTTGGGGTTCTCTCTCTCTCCCTCTCTCTGCCCCTTCCCCACACAGAGAGAGAGCACAAAATAAACATTAAAAAGAAAATGTTTGCTCAAGATACTCTGTTAAGAGGATGAAAAGCCAAACTATAAACTGAGAGAAAATATTTGCAAACCATGTATCTGTCAAACCACTAGTATCTATCTATCACTTCTCGGCATTTTGGCTAAGATCAAGCATAGTATTTGCTCTTATTTAAACCACTAGTATCTAGAATAAAGGACTCTAAAAACTCAACAGTAAAGGGGCACCTGGGTGGCTTAGACGGTTCAGTGGTTGAGCTTCCGACTCTTAATTTTGGCTCAGGTCATGATCCCAGGATTGCGTGATCGAGCCCCACATTGGGCTCTGTGCTGAGCGAGAAGCCTGCTTAAGATTCTCCCTCTCTAGGGGCGCCTGGGTGGCGCAGTCGGTTAAGCGTCCGACTTCAGCCAGGTCACGATCTCACGGTCCGTGAGTTCGAGCCCCGCGTCGGGCTCTGGGCTGATGGCTCAGAGCCTGGAGCCTGTTTCTGATTCTGTGTCTCCCTCTCTCTCTGCCCCTCCCCCATTCATGCTCTGTCTCTCTCTGTCCCAAAAATAAATAAACGTTGGAAAAAAAAAAAATTTAAAAAAAAAAGATTCTCCCACATTTTCTCTTTCTCCTCTCTCTCTTTTACTCTCTCTCTCTCTTCCTTTGCCCCTCTCCCATGTTTGTTCTCTCTCTTTAAAAAAAAAAACAAAAAAAAACCCTAAACATGCAACTACCATATGACTCAATAATTGTACTCCTGGGCATTTATCCCAGAGAAATGAAAACTTATTTTCTCAGCAAAACCTCTGAATACAAATGTTTATACCATCTTTATTCATAATAGCCCCAAACTGGAAACAACCCAGATGTCCTTCAATGGATGAAAAGTTAAACACACCACAGACTATTAAAGAGAAATGAATAATTCATACATGCAACAATCTGGTGAATCTCCAGAAAATTATGTTGAGTTAAAAATGCCAATCCAGGGGCGCCTGGGTGGCTCAGTCAATTAAGCATCCGACTTTGGCCCAGGTCATCATTTCAGTTTGTGAGTTCAAGTCCCACGTTGGACTTGTTGCTGTCAGTCAGTGCAGAGCCTGCTTCAGATCCTGTCTGTGCCCCACCCCTCCCCACCCCTGGTGTGTCCCTCCCCCTCCCCCAAAAAAGAATTCATAATTACAAAAAAAATTTGTTAAAGCCAATCCAAAAAGTTTACTTGGGAACTTTACTATAGTATGATTCCATTTATATAACATTCTTGAAATTCTAAAATTATAGAAATGGAGTATAGACTCGTGGTTGCTGGGCCAGTTAAGAACTAGAGTGGGAGAAGGAAAATGGATGTGGCCACGGCAATGATGGAAATATTCTGTATCTTTACCATATCAATACAATATTCTGGATGTAATATTGTTCTAGGGTTTTACAAGATGTTACCTTTATGGGAAAACTGGATAAAGGGTACAAGTGATCTCTCTGTATTATTATTTTTCCCTTTACATTATTTTTTACAAGTGCACATACATCTATAATTATCTCAAAATAAAAAGCTTAATTAAAAAATACACAAAATTGGAATAAAGCTTGCACCGTTAAAAGCTCAAAAAAATACACAAAATTAAATGACAAATGCAAACCATGTAAAAGACTTGCCACACAGTAAGTAATTAACAACCTTAACACGTCCAAAGCTTTTATAAGCCAAAAAAACAAACAAATGAGCAAAGAAAAATAGGTACTTCATAAAGAAATAATACAAACAACTAATATTCATCAGAGTAATTAACCTCACTATCATTTAAAAGCAAGAACAATTGGGGTTCCTGGTGGCTCAGTTGGTTGTGTGACCGACTTCAGTTCAGGTCATGATCTTGTGGTTCGTGAGTCCGAGCCCCACATCAGGCTGCCTGTCAGTGCAGAGCCCGCCTCAGATCCTCTGTCCCTCTCTCTCTGCCCCTTCCCACTTGTGCTCTCTCAAAAACAACCATTTAAAAAAATAAAAACGTGAAAAAATTAAAACAATGCAAATTTTTCACCCATCAGACTGGCAGAGATTGTAAATTAGATGCTGCAGAGTTTCCTGGTCAGTGGGTGCTCCTGTATTATTGACTGAGAATAGAAAGGGATAGGCCTTTATAGGAGGGCCATTTGGTAATATGTTTTAAAAACTTTTTAAAGTATACACCTTTAGGGGGTGCCTGGGTGGCTGAGTTGGTTAAGCGTCCAACTCTTGATCTTGGCTCAGGTCATGATTTCATGGTTCATGGGATCAAGCCCCATATTGAGCTCTATGCTGACAGTATGGAGACTGCTTGGGATTCTCTTTGTCTCTCTAGCTCTCTCCCTGTCCCCCCCACCTCAAAATAAACAAAGTTTATATAAATAAATAGATAAATAAATAAATAAATGTACACACATTTAAACATACTAATTTCATGTCTGGACATTTATTCTAAGAAAATAATCAGGTATACATGGGGTGCCTGGGTGGCTCAGTCAGTTGAGCTTCCTACTTTGGCTCAGGTCAAGATCTCACAGTTAGTGGGTTGGAGCCCCACATTGGGCTCTGTGCTGACAGCAGGGGCCTGCTTCAGATCCTCTGTCTCCCTCTCACTCTGCCCCTCCCCTGCTCTCTCTCTCAAAAATAAATAAACATTAAAAAAAAAGAAAAGAAAAGAATCAGATATACACACAAAAACTTATTTATAAAGATCTTCGCTATTGTATATAATTTGTCATGCCCCCAGATAAGGAATTATTGGGTAAATGAGAGCCATGTAATGAAATAAGATACAGAACATGATGCTTGAGAAAAAACAACCACAGAAAATTAGGATACATCAAGTGAAAAAAGTTGGTTATAAAACTAATGCATTATGTGACCTCAATTTTATTTCAAAAGTTAACATTTCCTAACATACATGTTTACCAAAAAGGCTAGAAGAATTCACACAAAAACATACCAGTGGTTACCTCAGTGAGGTGGTATCATGGGTGATAAATACATTTTTTTCTTTGTGCTTCTCTGCATTATCAAAATTTTCTACCAAGAATTATGTGTTAAATTACTTCAGCTATTAGAAGAAAACAGCACATTGGGGCGCCTGGGTGGCGCAGTCGGTTAAGCGTCCGACTTCAGCCAGGTCACGATCTCACGTTCCGTGAGTTTGAGCCCCGCGTCAGGCTCTGGGCTGATGGCTCGGAGCCTGGAGCCTGTTTCCGATTCTGTGTCTCCCTCTCTCTTTGCCCCTCCCCCGTTCATGCTCTGTCTCTCTCTGTCCCAAAAATAAATAAAAATGTTGAAAAAAAAAATTAAAAAAAAAGAAGAAAACAGCACTAACTTTTTTTGTTTTAAAAGGAGCCTGTGTGGTAAGGCAGGAGACCAATTCACAACCTTGGCTGTCAATGAGCCAGGTACTCAAAGGGCACTGAGTCTTTGGGCAACTGGTAGAGACATAAGATACACAGGCAGAAGTAGCCTCCCTTCCACCTCTGAAGAAACACGGTTCACCTTTCAGAGTTCCTGAAGTACTGTTAATAAGAGTGGATAAGTCTAGAATGACACATCACAGGTGTGACATTCTGGTTGGTTTGTTACACTGTCCTGGTTCTCGATTCTACTACGATTGCTTCCATGCTCTTGAAAACCTTGATGGCACAAAAACAGACACATAGACCAATGGAATAGAATAGAAACCCCAGAACTAGACCCACAAACGTATGGCCAACTCATCTTTGACAAAGCAGGAAAGAACATCCAATGGAAAAAAGACAGTCTCTTTAACAAATGGTGCTGGGAGAACTGGACAGCAACATGCAGAAGGTTGAAACTAGACCACTTTCTCACACCATTCACAAAAATAAACTCAAAATGGATAAAGGACCTGAATGTGAGACAGGAAACCATCAAAACCTTAGAGGAGAAAGCAGGAAAAGACCTCTCTGACCTCAGCCGTAGCAATCTCTTACTCGACACATCCCCAAAGGCAAGGGAATTAAAAGCAAAAGTGAATTACTGGGACCTTATGAAGATAAAAAGCTTCTGCACAGCAAAGGAAACAACCAACAAAACTAAAAGGCAACCAACGGAATGGGAAAAGATATTTGCAAATGACCTATCGGACAAAGGGCTAGTATCCAAAATCTATAAAGAGCTCAC